TTTTTTTGTGGGGGGGGGGGGGGGAGGTGTTTGGGATAGGAACTTCTGTACCATATATTTCTCTGAATATACAAAACCAAATTCCTGTAGAAATAAATATACATCAAAATACAAAAAAACATATGACAAAAAGATTGAAAAAAACGACAACAAATGAATCTTTTCTTTTTTTTGGTCATTGAATCTGACCTTCTTACTGTATCTAAATCCCAATACATCTAAAAGCCCAAACATCCAAAATGAAGCGATTCAGTACAGCAACGACTCGAGGAACATGTCCTCACTAGGTTCTTCCTTAGTCTTATAGAAGACATCGTCTGTGTGTTGTGATTGATTCATGTAAGAGCCCATTGAATTTCCAAATTCCGAGAATCCAAAACTCCCAGGACTCTGCAGCATCTCCAATGTGAAGGGTGCTTGATAAACGGACGGTGGTGGCCTCATACTCTGAATGGGATTGGTCATGGGGTTGTTGGAGAGATGGGACATGGACGACGGCCTAATTGCCATGGCTGCATTGTTGGTAGTGGTATGTAACAGAGGCCTGTTGACAGAGTGGGAGGCGCTGCCACGAGGAGCTGGAACATCGTGGTTGTGCTTTCCCTCGTAAGTGGTTATCACCGACCTTAGGTCGTGACATGCTCGCTCGACATGTTTTCTCACTGGACATCCAGCACTTGTGCACTTATAGTAGCTCCTGCAAGTAATGAACAGATCACATGATCAGACTAATAGGTCGAAGGACTTCAAGTCAATAGCAAAGCATAAACTTAAAGAACAGTGTCTTCCTATGTAGCAGGGATCGTAGTTTGAGAAACAACCCCTCAACATGACACATAATAAATGAAGAGGATTAGTATCAAAAATTNGTGTCTTCCTATGTAGCAGGGATCGTAGTTTGAGAAACAACCCCTCAACATGACACTTACTGCATAATAAATGAAGAGGATTAGTATCAAACAGTAACAACTCTGATTTCAAAATGATAACCTGGTGAAAATTTTATCCATTTTTCGTTATTTTCCTAATCTCAGAGTTTCTGATTCCGGGTTTATAGGTGTTCACTGAAATATGAAACGAAATTAAAATGATCCAACTCAAAGACATGGATCCAATTAATGCTACTCAAAGAAAACACCACTCGACCCAATTTTGCAACCCTACTATGTAAGATGTTATCAGAAAATGGATGCCTTGTTCTGGAGTTAGAAACACCAAAACAGGGCATATGCTATATATACTATTGCCTGGAACTTAAAAAGGATACCAATTTTCCATATTATAAGGAAAAAAGGGAGCTAAAAGTGAAAAAGGGTATGACTTTACCTTGGATTAGGATTTCCTTTCACCACCTTCTGACCGTACTTTCTCCATCTATATCCATCATCAAGAATATCAATATCACTTTTAGTCTGAACTACAACCCTAGGTTCTCTCAGTGTCCTACTTCCTGGTGCTGATATGCCTTCACTTTCATTTATGCTTTTCCTGGGAAAAAAGAAAGAAAATATTGGAACATGAGATTTTCCTTAATGACAAAACTCAAAAAAAGAAAATATTTGAAAATTACCATCTTTTGACATCAGGTTCATCTTCGTCAAACTCATCTCCCCCTGATTTACAATTCTGGGAACTCTGTTCGAAATCCTCATCCCCAACCGATATAGAAGAATTCTCTGGTGTTGGTTCTGAATCCATTTGTCCAGTACCTTGTGATGCATATGACTGAACTGGGATGTCCTCGTTTGAAGGATTGAAATGAATTGCCTGAGAAGAAACTGATGATGATGATCTCCTAGTGCTCTGAGGCTTGGGATGATTATGACTGCCCTTATAAACAATCTCTGTAATCTGACCACCATCTAAAGACTTCTCTACTTTCTTTTTCATTGGGCAATTGTTGTATGTACACTTGTAATAACTCCGCGGATTTTCGCTTCCTTTCACTTTTTTCTCCCCATATTTCCTCCAATTATACCCATCATCTGATCTTCTTCGCTCACTCATCGACTGGGAGGATTGGTTGTAATTACTAGAAGCTGACTGGAATCTGCCATTGCTTTGAGTGTTTTCAACAGTAGAAATCTCAGGGGAGAAACTCTGTATTGAGGGAGGCTCAGACTTCACCGTTGTATTCATGGATGATAGGCCACCTTGCTTGGTGTGTTCTTGATAATGCCTAACCTGTTGTTCCTGCAAATTTAAAGGGATTTAAAAAATATTCAAGAATTTGAAAATAAAAAATCAAAAAATAAAGAGAACTGTAAATGAATCCAAGTTCAACACAAACCTTCGGAATTCCATTGTTTTGTGACTCAAACATTGATGTGGATGATCTCGGAGGCCTTGTTCCGGGTTGAAAAGAGAAGTCTGAGTAGTTTTTCTCCTCCTGCTTGATACCCAGCTGGTTGTTAGTGTTGCTTTTCCAATTGAAGGTGTGAAATGGAAAAGTCCCAGTAGTTGGAGATGGAAAAATCTGCATATATACAAGATAATAACAATATCCATTAACCAAGTTACACCCAAAAGTTAGGCAACTTTGCCTAATCCAAGAAGACAACCCAGTATACAATTAAGAACACCACACCCTGATGAAAAAAAAAAAGTGCTAAACTGCAAAATATGTTCACACACATAGAACAGAAATTTAAAATTTCAGTCTTTGCTCTGTCTTGATCTGTAAAAGATAAGAGCAGAAAAAAGCTTTAAAATACCAAGTGGAAGAGTATTTTTAGCTTCCTTTAGAACTAAAAATAGAGAAACACATAAGACCCCAAGCTTCTTTTTCATTCCCCCTCTTTTTTTTTCCCTGTTTCGAAGCACCAAAACAGAGCAAAAGAAGGAAAATATAGAGGAAGTTCTATTAAGGTACTTACGTTGGACGAGGACAGAAGGATAGGAGAATCCAAAAGCTCAGCAGGGCTTAATCCAGCAGGGATAGCAAAGTATGAAGAAGGAGAGATAGCAGGTGGAGAGAGGGGGAGGGAAGGTGGGGGAATCGACTTGAATTTGGGCACCCCTGAGCCACTTCTCTCAGCTATTCGATTAGCAAGTCCGCGGCTACCCGCGACGGCTGTGGTGGTGGTGGTGGGGAAGACATCACCGACGAGGAGGTCTGTGAAGGAGGTGTTCATGAATGAATTTGAGAAACAAAAGCTAGGTGTGGTTGTCGGTGGTGATGGCCGTGGTGGATGTGAATTTACTATGGTCTCAAAGCGATCAGAAGAAGCAGACATTAGAGAAAAAGCAAAGTGGGTATGGGAGGGAGTTATATGGTGGAGGACCGATGGAGCGAGAGAGAGAGAGAGAGAGAGATGTAAACGTATTGAACAAGCTTCTATCTCTGTCCGTCTCTTGCTCGGAAGGAGATATTTTTTGAGAAGCTGAAGAGATGATTGACCGCGGAAAATGATTTACAATACATTTTATACATATTTATAATCAAGAAATTTAATTTAGAAATTATATTTATATAAGATTTTAACACATTATTTAAACTATAAATATTAATAAATAAATCTAAACAACATAATTTTATCCATTAAAAAGTGATATGGATAAATTACTGGATTGTGGAACACGAAGAACGGAAGAAGTTTCCTGATTTTGGTCAAACCTCGTGGTTTGACTACATGGTTATGCAGTGGGAAAGGCGGCTGTGGTAGGTGTATGTATATGCATAATGTACGCGCAATTTCACTCTAATGGACCCGGGTACCGTCCAGACTGTCTTACTAAGACACGCCTATGGTCATGCATCAAAAATTAAAAATTTTAATAATTAAATTATAATTTTTTAAAGTGCAAGTTAAAACTTGTAAAAACATAATCATGTCTAGAACCATGTGATTTATCATAAAAATTATAATTTTTAAATATTATGATCTGTATCTATGATCTATCATACACTTCTCTCAATTTGTAGTAGTTTTATATTTCAAATATGTAACCTTGCAATTAAAAAATATAATTTTGAGTATAGTACCAAAATATTTTTTTCGCATCACAGATTTTCCTTTTCACTTAAAAGAGAGGTTGTCTTCTCTCAAACCAGCAGTCTTCTACTTTTAGTCGATTGCTTAGGNATGGTAGTTAAAATTGCAACATCAGTGAAAAATTTACAATAATAGTGGATAAAATTCCAATATCAATGGGCAATTTACTACAGTAATGGGAAAAATTACTATGATAGTGGGCAAACTTTTGCCACATTTGAAGTACAAGAACTATATTCTGTGGGTTTGTGATCGATCACTAATATTAACTGATTGATCAAATAGTTGCACATCGAGGGCAAAATTACAATATTAATAGAAAATTTATAATAATAGTGGACAAAATTATAACATTAATGAAAAAATTACAACAGTNATTATTAGTAGATCAAACACTCTTGTTTTTTCTCTAATCTTTTGGAATAGATCTTTTCTTAATCGAATCAGATCCGCACCACAGATTAATCTCTCATTTTTTGGTGCTTAAATTTATATGCCCCTGTATACTTCAAGTTTATAGACACTTCAAGCTCGTACCTTCAATGCATTAATTACCATATATAGGTTCATTTAAAAATNTATAATTGTAATGACGAAAATTACCACAATAGTGGGCAAAATTGTAATATCAATGAAAATTTTACAACAATAGTGAGTAAAATTACAACATCAATGAAAATTTACTACAATAATGGGCAAAATTACTACAATAGTGGGCAAACTTTAACCACCACTTGAAGTATCAGAACTATGTACAGTGAGTTTGTGATCGATCGCTAATATTGACAAATCGATCAAGTAGTTACACACTAAAGGCAAAATTACAACATTAGTGAAAAATTTATAATAGNAAAATTACTTGTCTCTTAAATTTGATTTTTATTTATAACTCTCTCGGTGTGTTTGATTTAAGCATTAGATATTATCAGATTGGACAAATTCATTCATCTCATACTCATTCATCTGGGTTTTAGATTAATTAGAGTGATAATGTCTTATTATCTCATGTTTGGTTCAAGTATTAAGAAGTAGTGGACCTCATCTTTAAAAATATACTCCAATCGGACTATTTAAACCCACCAATTTGGTGGGTTTATGTAAGAGGGTATACGTGGGTTTAAAAACACTTTTCATCCGGACAGAGAGTATTTTAGGTGGTAATATCGGACTTAAAATATATGTCTAAACAAAGGAATAAATGAGATAAAGTGAACCCAAACATTATTTTATCTAAAATTTCCTCCATATACCTAAACCAAACACACCATCACTGTAGGAATCATTTAGAGAGGGAAATAGAGTGGCATAGGAATGACGTTCCTTCTTGATGGAGGTCAAGTTCCTTTACATAGACTGTTTATTCACAATGTTGATAGATAAATTACCCTTATGATTGGTAACTTACACCATCAAACTGTCGGTGGCGGTCAGATGGGTGTTGGAGACTAACCTCTATGACTTTGAGATTCGTGGTTTGTAGCTTTGCTGCCCGTGTCTACCTGTTCATCGGAAAAAAGGCACATAGTTTTTTTTTTTTTGAACACATAGTTGGACTAACAAATTTTCTGTACAAAACTCTCCTCTTTTTTTTTTCTCCTTTGCTGAGCTGACTCGAAGAAAAGCATTAACTTCCTTCTTTTCTTTTCTAGTGCACGCCAAATTGTTTGTAGGAAATGCAAGCAGTCAAAGTCAAATGTTGAACAGCCCGATGAGACTAAAAGCACATGCAAATCACAATACTGAGATGACCTGCTGAGGGGGAGCAAACTGCGGTACCCAAATGGAAACTTTTGGTATCATATCAAAAAAGTTGTGATTAAGATAATTGATCGCAAAATTACAATATTAGTAACAAATTTACAATAATAGTTAATAATATTACAATATTAGTAAAAATTTATAACAATAGTGGGCAAAATTACCATAATGGTAGTTAAAATTGCAACATCAGTGAAAAATTTACAATAATAGTGGATAAAATTCCAATATCAATGGGCAATTTACTACAGTAATGGGCAAAATTACTATGATAGTGGGCAAACTTTTGCCACATTTGAAGTACAAGAACTATATTCTGTGGGTTTGTAATCGATCACTAATATTAACTGATTGATCAAATAGTTGCACATTGAGGGCAAAATTACAATATTAATAGAAAATTTATAATAATAGTGGACAAAATTATAACATTAATGAAAAAATTACAACAATAGTGAATAAAATTACCAAAATAGTGACAAAAAATAATATCAGTGAAAAATTTACAAAATTAGTGAAAATTTTATAATTGTAATGACGAAAATTACCACAATAGTGGGCAAAATTGTAATATCAATGAAAATTTTACAACAATAGTGAGTAAAATTACAACATCAATGAAAATTTACTACAATAATGGGCAAAATTACTACAATAGTGGGCAAACTTTAACCACCACTTGAAGTATCAGAACTATGTACAGTGAGTTTGTGATCGATCGCTAATATTGACAAATTGATCAAGTAGTTACACACTAAAGGCAAAATTACAACATTAGTGAAAAATTTATAATTGTAGCGGATAAAATTACCACAATAGTGCCAAAATTACAATGTCAATAAAAAATTTACAACAATGGTGGATCAGATTATAACATCAATGAAATATTTACTATAGCAACGGATAAAATTACTACAATAGTGAGCAAACTTTAACCAATATACTAGTAAAACTTTAACCAATATTGGTAAATAGTATCAACATTAATCAAAACAATCACAAATTAACATCAAAACTTGTTAATTTATTCATAATTATTGTAAATTGACCCCTCAAAAGTGTTAAATCTGCCCTTAATTGTGATAAATTGCTCATAATTTTGTTAAATCTCACTCTATTGACTTGTGATCGATCACAAGCTTACTATTTTTCAAAAAGTTTTGGGAGAGAATACTTCAACTTTGAGATAGGTTACAAAATCTTAGGATAGATCGCAAATATTTTAGAGATAAAAAAATAATAATTTCTATATATTCAAAATAATAATTTTTATATATTCTAAAAAATAATAATAATAATTGCGATATACTCTAAATAATAATAATCGAGATAGATCGCAAAATTCATTTTCACCAAATTATAAAAAAAATACCTTTAATTTTATTTTTAAATTTTGATTTCATAAAATTAACACCAAATTGACCGCCTATTTTAGTAAATAAACTTAAAATTCATGAATTTAATGACCGTCAATTTTATCAAATTAACATTGAAATTTCAAATTTTAAAATTTAATTTCATCTAAATAAATACCAAAGTAACATTCGATAAAATTAAATTTTAAATTTTATTTCTACTTTTACGTTTTCAAATTTGAACGAAGAAAACCACTTTTAGGGAAGACTACTGTAACTTTGTGATATATCCCAAGCTTTTGGGATAGATCACAAACATTTTGAATAGAAAAAAATAATAATAATTTTGATATAATCCAAATAATGCTAGCAACACCAAAAAGCTGTAACATTTGAATTAATATAATTAATAATTTATTTTATCAAATTAAAATCAAATAATAGTTTAATTTGGTCAATTCAAAATTCACTTTCACCAAATTTAATAGAAAATTAACCTTTAATTTTATTTATTAAGCTTTGATTTCATTAAATTAACACCAAATTGACTGTCTATTTTATTAAATAAACAATAAAATTCATGAATTTAATGTTTATTTTCATCCACTTCATCAAATTAACCCCAAATTAATATTTAATTTCATAAATTTAAAATTCATATTCATCAGATTAATACTAAATTCACCTTCAATTTTATTTATTAAAATTAAATTTTATACAAATAAGACCAAATTGATTATCAGTTTTATCAAATTAACATTGAAATTCTAAAATTTAAAATTTAATTTCATCTAAATAAACACCAAATTGACATTTAATTACAATTAAATTTCATCAAATTAAAAATAAATTAGCCTCCAATTTAATTTATTTATAGTTTCATAAATTTAACACCATATAGACAACCAATTTTACGAAATTAACATAAAATTTTATGGATTTAACATTCAATTTCATTCAATTGAGAACTAATTAATTAAATAAACACTAAATTAACATTCGATATCATCAATTCAAAATTTAATTTTATCAAAGTAATATCAAATTCACAGTCAACTTTATTTATTAAAATTCAATTTCATCAAATTAACACAAAATTGACCATTATATTTACCATGTCAAAATTCAATTTCATCAAATTAGTATCAAATTCACCTTCAATTTTACTTATTAAAATTCAATTTTATCAAATTAATAAAAAATTGTTAGACAATTTTGTCAAGTTAACAATCAATTGCATCCAATTTGATGTCTAATTCATTGAATAAACA